TATATATAGGACCTGGTAGACAACACTTACATTTATGCAAGTACGGTGTAAGCATGAGGTAGCAAGTCAAGCCTGTTGCTAGCATCATCAAGCGCTTACCCATTTTGTTCTGACCGTGAACAGCTATATAGCAAGATTCATAGGGGGTGGGCATTATTGGGCATCGCGCGTTTGCAGGCAGCAAGATGTCGCAAATCTTAAATATTTTTCAAGATTGCGTCCGAGCTATCCAGACTATCGAACTCCTAGTTTATCTTCTTTGTGCTGAAATGGCTCACTGATCAGAAAAACCGTGTTTCCAAACTAACGTCTGCATCTTGGCAGCTCCTCTCTGAGCTTGGACAACCTGACGGTGTCTCAGCCATCGCGGTTCCTTAGGGTGGCACACCCTATATAAAAAGAAACAATGTTACTCTGTAGGAGTATTTTATTTTCTATGTTTCACAATGCTTTAGATGCCCTCTCCATAATCATAGTTCATAGCAATCCACTCCTTTTAACGGAACAAGGCTATCAATCTGCCTCAAGTCCTCTTCCTAGCGCCGCTCCTGCTAATTGGCATAAAATAGTGAGTGCAAAATTTAGTCTTGGACGACATCATCTCGAGTATTAACTTTCGGACTCCACAAAACGCTACAAGAGGTCCTTTCATGCTACTTGCACAAAAAGGGCCCGTAAAGAGGTTTGTGAAAAGCATTATGTATAGGTTGGCCAATTAACGCGCCGAAATTTTCAGTCGTCCAATATAAGTAGCGGAATTTTTAACCATGTTTCACAGATGGATGCGACAAACTCAAGAATGTGCTAGTAGAGCTAGCGCGACTATGTGGGTAGGTTTTTCCTCTACCATAAACTGGGTTCTTTATTGACAGGGCGGAATAACGCGCAAAATATACAACTCCTGCGTGGCCTGATTCCACTTAGCCGCACAGACGTGTGGACCATTCGCTTTTGTTTGACTCTGCAAACAGTATAAATAGTTTCAATCATTTCTCTGAAGTAGAGGAAATATGTGGTTTATATTACTATACCATTCACGCTAAAGGGTTGAATTTTTTCTTCGGTGTTTCCGAAGTTCTTCATGGTCCTCTTCAGGCTTTCAGGCCTTGCTATCATTCCGACTACCACTAGTGTCCCAGAAAAACAAATGGACTAAAACTACTAAGCTGTGTACTGGAGGTAGGAACTCAAAACGCTAAAGTGCGGATCCGTATGTGACTGTTTGAAGACCGGGGTTTCTATTGACTGAAACGTGTTGGCATTCACTTTGGTGATCCACCGTTGGGCCCACCCTAAAACGGCTCTGTGGCATTTACAGATAGTAACCATGCAAGCGCGCTGTAGGTTGGGTGAACTTGTTCTCCAAAAAGCCATCCAACAAATCTTGGCACTACTGATCTGACACACTACTGGACTCTAAAGCATTTTTTCCTTCGACTCGTAGAAAACAGATTTCTGAACCATGTACAGCGGTCTGTAGAGTGCCGTTGATAGACAAGCGGATATCCTGTCAACCCCATAGACCTTGTGAATTAACAAAAGCCCCGCAACCTACCTCATTTGAACGATTTTGGTCAGGTACTTAAAAATAATGCAACTACTTAGATGGATGACCTGACGTAATTAGCTGCTCACCCTTTCCTTTTTCAATCCAGCAAACGACGACTTGATTAGAGGCGGATGTTAAAGAAAAAATGTTTATCGGCTTTATTTTGTTGATGCCAGTCGTCGTGCTACGTGTTTTTTCGTTGTGCAAGTTTTAGAGGCGGTGGTAAATGTGACCAGGAAACCTAAAGAAAGGTAGATAACAGTTGAGTGCACTTAATGTTTCTGTGGATAAAAATCCGCATAAACGGCAAGTTCTAAAAACAATTAAGATGTATTATTTTTCGACATAGACCATTTGACAGTCTCAATCGCGGAAATTATAAACGAGTTCATAAAAAGTTAGTGATTGTCGGAGATATCCATGGTTTTGGAAAGTTGGAAAAATAAGGATGAAGTAGTTTGATAACTATATCAAAAAGACGGTAAAGATTTGGCGAGATTAGCTTTCACATGTATAAGACATTTGATGTCAGATTGTGGTTTAGTGGCTTGTTTCTGAGATTTCTCAAGAAACCAACCGTCCCGAATGACCTCATTACGTATGGTGTAAACAGCGTATACTGCGTGCAGTCAGAAGCATGCTGTAAGTGATATGTGACATACTCTGCCTTGGAACCGGATGTAGTGGTCCCTCTACCTGCTTTCTGCGTTGGCTACCCTTATAATTGAACGATATGTCCTACGGTATATTATATAAGGCTATGCTATAAGGCCATATGCTTATTAGTTTCGAATTAGTGAGGTTTTGACCTGAATGTGGACAGGGCGTTGCTCCCCACCACAAGGCAAAGGCCTTTCTAGTGACCGGTCATATGCAAACAAAAAACGGTCTGCAAAGTTGCCCGATCATTCAGGAGCTAAACATTGTCGGTCAACAGCAAACTGTGGGATGAAAGATCGCCTTGGGACCGTTCATGAGTGCCAACGGAAAAGTTGGCAGGAATCCGCATAGTAGTAAATCAGTGTGTGCTTAAACGTATCCCACTTACACGACAAGGTGTCAATTAACCAAGTTTAGGAGGAAACTATTTATCTCACATGTGGCCAGCTTCCTTGATAGGATTTCGTGTTGCACCGTTCCAGGATTTTAGGTAGTCGACATCATTTGGAACCACAGCGTTAAGATCTCTCGTTTAGCACTTCTTTGTTCTCAAAAGGATGGATAGACTAGTTTACGCCTAAATCTTTCCTGTTCCTTAGAGAAAGCCTTATTGGTCTAGGTTTGCAGGTATCGTATAGTCGACAGTAGATATTACTCCTTCTATGGGATGAGGAGTCTGGTGGACTGCCTATCACCTGTAAAGATAGGCATGGCGATGACTGCCTGCTTATGTTTCTAGAATAAACAGGAATATTTTGACGCTGAAGTAGTATTCTCACTTCCCAAAAAGTAGATACTTTGTGGCTGGTTTCATGAGTGCCTGCAGTAGAATGTTGCCGGAGGTTTTTGATCTTGCATTGAGCTGAAGTAACGGTCACTTCTTGTTTGGTGGATCTTTGAAAACGAGTCACTCTGTATTCAAGCTGGCTTAAGACGCTGAAAGAATTCGAATCGGTGAGATATTTGCCATTCCCTTCGGAGGCGTTTAGGCGGTTCCCCGTTCAAGCCTAAGCTAACGTGTTCTCAACAGCACCTCAGGTTGTCCTTAAATTGAGTATATGGCTAGATTTATCACCTCTTGTTAACGTTTCCAAGTGGATTGACAAGGTTTCGGATAAAGCCTCGTTAAAACTTATCAGGCATTGTGCTCTGATTTTGTCTCCTGGAAATTTGAAATATGCCATTTCAAGTGTGTAGCGAGTTTTCGTAGACTCATAAAAAACGGCTAGCGTGAGGTCTTGCACAAGCTACATGAGCGAACACTGCAGTCGAGTGGTGTTTCATGAGAAAAAATTCGATCACGAACTATTCGTTAGCTGAATTAAGGTTGAGCTGGAAGAAAGTGAACGAAAACTCAGCAACGGGTCGGGTAGTGTACCTGAATGAACAAAAGAACGGATGAATAATTGCTAGTTGTTGTTCCACCAGGATAGTTCCACATGTGGATTGGTCATAAACACAGGTTGCAGTCCAGGTTCATCAGGTTTTTAGTAGATCAAATGTCTCCAAGGGACATCTCGTTGTTGAGTATAGTGTAATTAAGCGGGTAGCAAATTCTTGCGTCGTGAACTAACAACATACCACAACATATTACGGTGGTTCAAAGCAACGATAAGTGAACTGGTGTGCAGCTCTAAGAGCCGCGGTAGTAAAGGAGAACTCTTTTATTTTCAGCCTGAAAGGCTCGTCTGATTAGCGATAGCAGAACTCATGGTGCCAGAGATTATATAGTTTTCGGTCACACAACTTTTCACAGGTCACTTGCGTATGCTGTTGGAGTAGTTTATTATTTGTGGTAGGTAATACGATGGCTATGGTGTGACAGTAAAATCAGCGGTTCTAGTTAAGAATTTTCAGCTGACTGGCGCGAATAATACTAAATTCGTCCCTGCCTGAGCTGAGACCAGACCTTGAGTCGTGCTGGGACCGTTAATGGTATTGTGGTGGTAAGTGTCAGATGCCGTTGGTTTGGTGTGTGGTCCGCGCGGAGGACGATGCTGCAGGACAGAGGCGCATTTCGGAAGGATTGAGGCTTCGATGAAAGTGCCAAGTCTTGTTTACATGAAGCGATATGTAAACGTGTGGCAAAGTATCCATGCTTATTTCTATATTAGCTACTTTACTAAAGATCACAATTAAGTCCCGTGTAAACTCCCTCATATGCCAGTGAGTTTTGGCAAGGAGGAATTTACACCAGTTGCTCTAGTAGTTAGTCGCCGAACAAAGTACAACCAAGTTGCCATAACTGTTGTTTTTGACGTATATATTCTATTTAGGCCATCCGATGGCATGCTTACTCATGGTTAACCAGAGTAGGCTATTAATCGATATTCAAGCCACAAGAGGCCTCCAAAGGCTGCTCAGAAATTACATGCTAACATCACATTTTGCGTACTCCGTCAAAAACACCCAGTTGCCCATCGTCCCTGCGTTATAGTAGTAAGTGACAATCCTCCATGAGAATTTGATTTAAGCACTATTATTTGGCCACAGAAACCATCAGCTAAAAGGACATTCCTGTAATTCAATGGACGAATGAGTGGGTGAGTGAGTGAGTGAGTGAGTGAGTGAGCTGGAAGTGAAGTTCTGTGACTGCCGTTGTACAAACGGAATTATCATTGACTAGTCATAGCCATACATGCACGTCTTACGGGTGGTACAGGTCACTAGGGAGTGAGTGAGTGAGTGAGTGAGTGAGTGAGTGAGTGAGTGAGTGAGTGAGTGAGTGAGTGAGTGAGTGAGTGAGTGAGTGAGTGAGTGAGTGAGTGAGTGAGTGAGTGAGTGAGTGAGTGAGTGAGTGAGTGAGTGAGTGAGTGAGTGCTTTAAAGGATGGATCCTGGATCCCTATGCCTGAGCCCTCTGCAACATGCAGGTCGGTTGATGTTGATATGTTTGGATATAATGAAAGAAAGTTGGGCTATTGTGTAGTATCCTTCACACACACAAAATCCCGGTCAGAGCTTGAGTAGGATACTAAATCAGTAGCCTAGTGGTTTTACATTAGGCAAATAAGATGGTTGCAGAAGTAAAGCCGGCTATTTATATGGCCGGAAAAAAGGCATCGGCCTTTGTCTCTAAAACATAACCAAATTTTTAAAATAATATAGTGGGTGGCAAGAATGACCCAGCTTCTTTGACAGCTGATGCTCAGAGGCGATATCCACACACATTCCCTGCAGACCAAGGAGTAAACCCAGAAAAGTTTGTTCGCATACGGCGGGGCGGGTTTTGGAGGCCGCAAATAGACATAGTGACGCGTCTTTGTGCAAATTTTGAAAACTCGCGGACATATTAAAGCCATAATTGCTCATAATTTGAATATTGGGGTTGTTTTTACCTTTTGTTCGCAGATTTTCGTCGAGAGCTTTAGTGCGCTCTTTTGAAATCGGAATTTTTGTGGCAAGAGCAGATCTCTTCTGATATTAGGCTGTTCCAGAGATTTCCTTGTACAAGGCTTTGTAAGACCTCTCCAAAGACTGCATACTGAAACAGACACAGTTCCATCACCACTATATATGGTAATGCACTGGCGGTTCATGCTGGATTCTAAGTGTTATGAAACCGTTGAAAAACACATTTATAATAAAAAGGAAAGGTAAACAGCTGTGACAGTGACCTGACGAAAGTAAGGGAATATCCTTAGGGGGAACGGCCAAGACTACGATGCGTACACCTAACGGCATTGAAATACACTCAACTTAGTATCTTCCCAGATGAAGAAGTCACCAAGCAATTGACCTGACGTCTTTTGAGGACCTTATCTTGCATCTATCTATTGGATAGCAAACGCCAATCCTTAGCTAGTCCGTCTGATTGAGAACTGGCAGCATACTCTGCACATATGTCGTTAGCTAAGCAAACACGTCCAAGCAAAAGCAGATTACTTTTAACCAAACATTTAACGCAAAAATGTGGAACACAGAATTTTTGCTTAGGAATTATAAGCCAGCAAGGTAGATGCAAAACCATGCGGCCAGCTTTCAGGGTAATTTGTAGCGACGTTCGGCCACCAAACAACAAAGCTTATTCCTCTGTATCAGGCAAGCTTAGAGACCTCTTTTTAAGGCCAAAGTTAGCGCACAGATTCAGCATCTCTTACAGCATACACCTTACAATGATGCCGATGACAAAAGTGGACACAGATGGAGGTAACGTGACCATTCTGGATCCTTGGATGGCTTTTTTTTAATTTTTACTCCGTTAAGGACCGGAAATAATGGAGGAGGAATAGTTGAAAGAAGCTTAAAGGTCGTTATCACTGGCCGAGAATAGTCAAAAAGCCATTGTAACCAGAGTCAGAAGCATTTTTAAATTTAAAAATCTTTTTGATATCAAGCCACCGAGGCAAGCATAAGTAAAGAAACGCGCTTGTTCCAAAACAAGCAAGACAAACTTGTCAGAACAGAACCAAAACGTTCCCACCCATCTGATTTACGCTGACGGAAACTCATTAACCTCAGTAAATCATGGATAAGGCAGATTTATCTTCCGAAAACTAACGGAAAGTTCAAACGTACAAACCGCGGCTTGGAAGGGACTGGCCAGATAAACCACAAAGATGCAGGCAAAGAACACCAACAGAGTGTCGCCAAAAACATGGCATCATGGAGCAGAAACTAGGTTGCGTACACTGGAATGTAACTATCTGACATTTCTCCCTTTTACTCAACCGGTCGCTTCCTGTAGACCAATTTTGACCGGTTTTGGGGTCTTCCATTGTCATTCGGTTGTGAAAAGATGAACGATTGGCTCTCCAAACCTTCACAGAAGGTAAGAGAAAAAATGAAGCGAAAAGATGTTTAAAGAGCAAGGCGGAGAAGAGTCATACAAGCGCTGTGCTCTGTGTATTAACTGGCCTGAGAAAAGGTGCGTTACGTACTCAAAAATAAACTGAGCAAATAAAAATAAAGCTTCTGTGAAACTGACTCGTATTTCTCTCCGAGAAGTCTGGAAGTGTGACAACAATACCAACCAGATCTTTAAGAACCTTTGACGTTGGATCTATTGTGAGTGATAATTCGTCGAAATTTATTCTGCCGATCGAGTCAGTCAAAGGTATGAATGCAGTGGATAGACGACAATGATCTCCGTGAATTTATAGGAGACGTGACAAATAGGAACATGCCATTGTTTCGCCGGACATGATCGTATACTCAAATATTTTTCAGTTGTATCAAACGCAGAGTGTGTTGAAAAGGTTTTGTAAGAATCTTGATAGTGTTTCTGCAAGATCTCCACCCCGGAAGGAAAGCACACAGCTAATCATGCTGTCGATTCCACCGGAAGCGCTTTCTCAGAATTTCTGGGCCTGTGTTCAGCTGCACCTGGTGAGGTCACTTGGCTGATTTCGTCCTTAGCTGGGATAGATTCGCTGTCTAGATCCGCAGCATTTACAAATGCTGTCCATATATGGGCGAGAATTTTAAGGATATTCGTTGTCCGAACAGAATAGGTTCACTCTCATCCTTTTTGCACGTCATTGCTGGTAGGACATGTATTCCACTTTTCACGTTGCTGGTTCGGCTCAAAAGTCTGTATACCCGCTCGTGTCCAAGGGTGAGCCTGATTGAATGTACTTGCTCCCCGCCGTATGGAAAAGCTCCACTTGTTTCAGACAATTCAGTTTTCACACGAAGGTCTTATTAGTGGCTAAACCGGTACAGCGTTATCAGGTTTTGTCTGCAAGTGGTTTATTGTTATCTTTCGCCACGCGCAGGAAGTTGCGCTCATTCTCAGTGGTGAGGAGAAAGGGTGTGAAAAGGTATATACGCCAAAGTGTGACATAAGAGAGAACGAGTGGATGCAGACCACCGGCGGGAAGTGGAAATCTAAGAATCAAAAAAGTCACTTTTGTATACGCTTGCACATCAGATACAAAAGGCGTGCAACCAAGTATGAAGCCAATGGCTTATAGAGAAGTACACTTAGTGAATATTGACGCCTCGATTAATCTTATTCCGGCTCATTACCCCAAATTATCTAAATGAGAAGGACAGGTCCCCACTATCTAGGTTTTACAACCCATTTCTGGATAAGTTACGGGTCAGAGAATTCCAAATTTCACAAGCACATTAATGCGCAGGCTGCCCATCGTAGCCGCGAAATCACATAATGTATTTGAAATGAGCTCCTTAAATAAATGTTCACCAGTTCAAAACCGAATATATAAAGTCAATAAGAAGTTCTAGTGGTATATGGGGGAGAGAGAGAACATCAGTGGTAACAGCTTAAATAATTTCTTATTATGGCAGGTGATTACAGACTCTCCTGTCCAATTTAGTGTAACAACAGTTCAAGTCTTCAGGACAGGCACACTGCAGCGAGGAAAAGAAAGGAGGAAAAACCTGAATACTTGGGCTGCCTGATAGAAATGCGAGACATGTCTGAGGGTGACCAAGGCTAGGTGACAGCGTGAAACATTCCATATTCTGCTACGACGGCCGGCCCGAAAAGCACTTAAGAATATTTTTGTCACCATATCCCATCGGTGGGTGTTGGTTCAGGCAACCAAATGTCACACGCGGCTGCAATGACCAGGGAGATGAAGGCTTACTGCGCGTCTCATGTTTTTATTCGTGCAGATTAACGTACATTCGTTACACTCCTCAAAGTCAGCGCAGCGTGGGAGGAAACACATTGCAGCATTCAAGTCCATTCAGTCCTTGTCTGTGCTTAGACGCAGGAGATAACACGATATCTGGGACGCTCAAAATTGAACCAGCTTCCTGGATTTAGCCTCCCTGCTAAATCTTGTTAACAGCCTAGTGTGGGATTCACAATTCCGTTTGGCGTACCCTGTTGTACACAGCGATGAATTGCGTGGAAATGTAAAGACATCCCTTCTGTTTCAGGGTATAAGAAATACGTAATCAAATGTTCTTGAAAGTTTGGTGACTTCCTGAATAAGACCATACAAATAATTCAGCGTAGAAGGAATTGTAGGCATTATTCAACGGAACAAAAAACATTGTGTGCGGCAACCGTGATTGTCATTCCGTGTGCAACATGTGCAACCTTGTGTGCAACGTGGATTGATGGAGTTTTAACTCACTGATTAGTGTTTCAAGTAGCTAAAATTTTCTGACCGATATTCGAAAAATAAATTTCAGAATCCCGTAAAGTGGGAGGAAAACAATCCAAATCACGATTTTTACGAAATGAATCCTAGAAACTCATTATCCAATGAGCTGATGCATTCGTTCGTTGAAATATCATGCATTACACCATTCCACTCCAGCCGCGATGCTGCATATTTACTTGTAGCTTACCATATTCCACATTTGTTGCATACATGCCAGTTTATATTAATGTATATCACTCTTCAACAACGATTCCTAAGAAGACATAAGATGTCGTTTTTGTCAGTTCCTTAGGTATTTTTTCTTGTCTTAATTTGCTTGGTAATTTCAATTACGGTTAGCGTTTGTTTTTGCTTGAATTAACCCCACACTTTCTTTCAGCACCTCACGCACTTCAGTTATTCTGGTTCGCAGCGTGGCACTTAGAGGTTTACTCGTTGATTGTATTCTGATTTTTTGGAAGAATCAGCAACGTTCTATGTTTCATTATGTATTATTATGGTGATTCTTCTTGCATCATCAGGCGAGGAAGCAAAGCGCATGCCACGTAGACTTATTGGGACCACGCATCTTCACTGACCAGCCTATACCGTGATCTGATTAAGTCAAGAAGTTCAGGAACACTGACCGGAAAATTCACGAAGCCAATGCGGCGCTTGTCCCAGAGATGACAGTGCGCGGTTGAGAGAGCCAGAATCTCACCATAATCATTAGATCTATTTTGGAATCCGCGTACCAACTATTCTCAACTCACTGAATGTATGTTACCCAGAAATTCAGCTGGGGTTTTGTGCGATGTGGACGATTGTTTACCAGGAAACTTCCGATAGAGCACAATAAAAGAGACCATAATAATTGGTCCGGCCGGATCAGTGTACATTACCGAAGAGACATGTTAGCATCATTGACGGAAAAGCAGGAACCCACAATTGGCACATCAGTTGTGTCTGATTAGAAAAAGAAAACATCTTCCGGTTCTGCACTTCCTCCCAGCGACCTCATCGCACAAAATCTTGGCAAAGCGTAACTACGAACAGTCTTTTCCCAGCCTGTTTTTCGTGGGGGAGGCTTTTCGTGGATTGGTGCACAAGATTAGACACTGGGCTAGACGAGACCCATCCAAGGATCCCAAAAGAAACATAGCTCACTTTGACAAAGCGTTCCCTTCTTATGCTTCGTCAGTAGAAACACGAAAGTACAATTGTATCGGCTTTGATTGCCCCACAGGTCTACAAATCCGGTGATTACTTATTTCTGCTAGCTGCAGGCCTACTGGCCTCCCTTGGATACTATGCAAGCTGATGGGAAGCATTCTGAGGAAGGCATTTTGAAGTCACTTTACTATCAATAAACTAACATCCCTATTTCAACGCAGGATCCTTCTGAGCCGTTCTAGTGTGGCAAATATGCTCGCATTTATGGAGAGCTTAACCCGGCCCAAATGCGAAGAACTCACATCGGACGTCATGGCACCTCAAGAACATTGCATATAAATCCTCAAGTCTCGCTGTTCCACAAAATAGACGCAGGGCGATTCAGGGGGAATTCTACGCTGGATTAAAGCTTTTATATTAAATGAACATCAGAACAAAATTCAGGTCTGACTACACTTCTGCATTGACCTATATTGCTGTTCTTCATCGCTCCGCTCTAAACGATTACTCGATCCGATATGTGCAACGACCTTTCACATACGCTTTCAGGTCCACGTTTACTTCTTGTGGACAGCCTTAAATCTTAGAATACCAGTGCCAATGATCTCCGAATGGTTGTGGACACCGCAAAATGACGGTCGCTGGAGGACAGCCCCTCTTGAGGATGAAAGGCGCTTGCATATCTTTTTCAGCATAAACTTAGTGAACGCGCAATTCGTTTGCGTAAGTGTGGACGAGGAGGCATTGCCAAGATAAGTATGGAAATGTAGTTGGGTATATGGCTGCCCAAAAAAGTGTCCCTCTTACTCCGCCAATATACAATTTGCCCTGTTTGAACAAGGTTTGTCAACGGGTTTCTCACCATTGAGCCACTAAACTCATGGCGGAGACACTCTAAGAAGACCATCAAAATAGGGGTTCACACCTTTGCTAGGCTTCAATTTTCCCCCATAGAGACGTTGCTGTGTGCAATAACATCTTCTTAGGGCTGGTAAAGC